GGGCAAGTTTTTATTCAACAAACTGTTGAAAACAGCTCACCTACTTTAATATTTTTTTCAAATTTATCTTTATCCTAATATGTTTGTATACATGTGTGCTCTCATTTAATCTTATTAAACATACAAAATCTTCACTTTTAGTTGGCATCAGCTCTTCATCTGACCGATTGACCAGCATTGACTGCATCTCTGTCTTCATGGCTCCAAGAGCTGACCTCTTTCCGCGTCTTCTTGCACCTTCCGAGCGTTGGTTATCAATTAGCCGTTTTGGCGAATTTCACCCTAGTAGATTGCCGGTATTGTCTTCCTCAGCCCGACGTCATCTCCGACTCAGACTTGCTGCTGATCTTTGCCTCGATGCTCCAGCCAACTTTGAATTGCCTAAATCCAGTAAAATGTTTAAAACTCTTAGAGTGTGTCAAGATTGGGATAATCGAAAAGTTGAAAAAGAGGAGTTGCAACGTGATAATATTGTCGAGGATACAGAGGAGGAAGATGAAAGAAATGAAGAGGTTTCCTCTTTTGATTATAAAATTCCTAGCTGCACTGACATGGAGTGCTGCGGAAACTTTGGGGAAGAAACCCTACATAATATACCTCTTGATTCTTCATCCGTAGATGAAGTACAAAAAAAACGGCTATACAAGGCGGGAATATCTCAAAGGCAAACATCTTTTGAACCATTAGGTCGATTCCAAGTTGGGCCTCGTTGGCTCAGTAAGTTTAATAAACTGACTAATTTTAGAAGTGGTTTGACCTCGTCGTAACTTGATATTGTTGTCAGGGCGACTAGGTAGAACGCACCTAGTCCGAAGTTGTCTGCCATAGTAGTTGTCATGATTCCCAGCATCTGACAGTGGTCTTGATACATTCTCAGACTTTTCTCCGGCATCTTAGTCGGCATCATAAGTCAGCCTTGCTATTCTCCGCACCAAGCTACGAATTCGTCAAAGAGACAACCGTTCTGCAAAAAACGGTTACACTATCACTCCTCTTTCTGTCATTGCCTATCTATCTACTCTTA